AAGGTGCATGTTAGCTGAACTGTGTTTTTTCACATCTTTACCCGTCTTTAGTTTGCTCTAGTTCGCACTGCTGCAGTGCTCTTGAAGATGACCAAGCTTCGACAGGCGTGCCTCCCCAACAGGACTCCACCAGTCCTATGGGGTACTTCAGGGTCTCATACATGTAACGTCCAAAGAGCCAGCACACTGCAGAGAACTCTGCCACGCCTCCTGGAAATACAATGCAAGTACATAGTAGAATGCACATAAACAGATAGCAACATTCTTTATATTTGTTAACTGTATTATATGTATATTGTATAGTACAGTAATATACTGTCTTGTGCTGTATCCATAAGAAAACAGTAGCTTGGACTCAGGAACATGTGCAATATATGCATTTTTTCTTTTATACAGCATGTATAACTATCTCAATAGTTGCAGTTCAATAGTGTCAAACCAAAACCTTTAGCTGCAAACAAGTCTTTAAACAATTCTATGAATAATTAAATAAATCCTTGACTCACTTGCTGTGGGCACAGACCAGGGAAGCTCCACTTGAATCAAATCAATCAGCTCAGTTTCACTCAGCCTCAAAGCTGCCATAAAGGGCCTCACATGAGGATACTTTGCTGCAAGGGCCAGCTCCTGTGATGCATTGAAAATCTATTGGAGAATGAATAAATTAATAAATAAAAGAGAGTTCTCATTAAACAATGAAATATGAATAAATTCATACATACATACCAAATAGAAAGGCCCCTTTGTCTAGAATGTTTCATGACACCAATGTAGTTATATAAACTTTCTGAACATTACAGCCAAAGTCGACCTTTTAAGTTTTTCTTTGACAGACTTCTACCGCACATTTATGTCAGCGTAAAACAGAAAGACAGACCCCTGGCTCAGCCTACCTGAGATGTTTTAAAGTACATGTTGCTCTGTCCTCCACACAGCCAAACATCTCCAAACAGCACATCTGTTAGAACGGCCGTGGCGTTCTGAACAGCTGCTATCACAATGTAGGGACCACCGGCCTCAACAGGGTCAAGGCTCACTCGCCAGATACCTGTAAAAACATTCAGCCATTGATAACATGGACTGTAAATGAACAGGTGAAGGATTTCTCGATTAAGACAGGGGTATACAGATTGTAAATCCCCTTGAGGAAAATCTGTGATTTTGGTCTGTATAAATAAAATTGAGCTGACTTGACTTTGAGCTCGTATTCATTTTAGTTAAAGGTCAGTACATAGATTGAGGAGTGGCGACAGATTAAAGAAGCTTTTCTTTTCTTTGGACACCTGAGACATGCACTTGGAGAAGTTGAATGGAGGTCAGTATAAAAATGTCAGTATGAAAAGAGCCGTTTTGATGTTTTAGAAATGGTAGTGGAATTAAAATGGTTACATTTAACTGGAAAACATGACACAATAACTACGTTACATCCATAAAAAAACTAATTCTGTTCTTCCAAAACACTGTTCAGGCCACACCGTCACTGTTCAAACTGGTTACACAACAAAAGCTGTCAGGTTCACTCTGTGCAGCCTCTGCGCCCATTCAGTGCCCTGCGGATGTCAGCATAAACTTCCCACCTGACAACAACTGGCTGCACTCACCTTTTGTCACAGTGACCACTAAGGGTTTCTGTTTTATTGGCCCTGACAAGGAGACGGTGACCTGAGCCCCCTCAGGTCCATAGCCCCACAGCACAGCTCTCTCTGGAGACTGCTGCAACACCATGTGGTCTCCATAGTAGGAGGCAAAGCGCAGGTTCCCATCTACACACACACACACACCAAGTTTTACCATCTCATGCATTGAGAAATAATTATTTTGAAAGTGTTAATAATTAGTTTGTGATTACTTAGAATCAAAACATATGTAACAAAAGCATGATGAGGAGATCTGTGGTGATTTGGCTTAAAGGTATTTAGTGTCAAAGTTAACATTAGGGTAACGTTACATTTGAACACAGGTTAATGGTGACACACACACACATTTTGGCAGACTGTACTCACCACAGTTGTGAACACAAGCTGAAAGTATAAAAACAACACACAATGTTACTACCATCACAAGCAGACAACTTTTGATCACACACAGCTGGAGGACTCTGTCAGACACGATCATGAGACTTTCGCGACTCCTGAGCGACCGTAAAATACGCACCTATCCGTGACGTCATCTATAGGCGCTGCTGACCTTCAAAATAAAGGTACACACACACAAAAAAAGTCTAATCAAATGATTTTGTATTTAGGCATTTAAACCAATACTTGAAAACCCTTTTATTCATTTCAAAACACACACACACACAC